TATGACACTAGCGTTACATATGGGAACCCTGTCACACCAGTTGGAATCTCGGAATTTAAATTGGTACGAGGTTCACCCACCTTCACACTGAAAGTGTGATGGAAAGCAAATTCCTCACCTTAATACTGGTGTTAATGTTTGGTGTGATGTTCGGGAATGCATGGCGAAGAGCAGTATGCTATGTTTCCACCCATAATATTTATCGAGAGTCGGGGCGACCCACGGGTGGGGATGCTCAACAAGGCCTATAATCACTAGTGGGTGTTCAGTGGGTTATTTAACTTCATTATATTAATTAAAAATAAAATAATATAATTTTGGTCAGAAGCGTGTGTTGCATTTACATACTTCAGTAAATTAAACTTTCTTCTTATTACAATTGTCTTTTTATTCAAAAATCCCTTTAATGAAACAATTAATGAAGTCTTATACAACTTCAAGGAAAAAAGATTACATTTGCCAAGCAGAAATAAAATTTCGTAGAAGCCATTTCCAACTTGTTTTTTGTAGTAAAAGCCATGCCATCTCTGGAACTAATGAATGTAGGCTATTCCGAGTTTATTTTTAGTAAAAAACCCGAAAACCTAAGCTTAATGAGTTAGAGTGGTTTATTATAAATAAAGCGAATCAAAAAATATACGGGAAACAAACTTCACCGTTTTTGTGTTTCGGCCGTATTGAAAAATAATGTTTTGGCTTTTACTACGTTTCATCCTGGAAGGGTCGATAAGCTTCGACTATACGACGTACTTTGTAATTTTTTATTTACTTAATTTCTGTATTATACTATCACAGGTAGACTCTGCGATTAACAAAATCCAAAATTTAGGCATAATTGAACTATATTAGACAATTATTTCGGACTCATGTTTTCAAATCGTTTTCTCGTGTGTGAAAACATACACGTGCAGTCATAAGCTATTACTATTAGTTTTTTTACAGTTATCGGTATAACCAGTTGTATAACCAGCTATATAACCAGCTGGAATCTATAACCTATTTTTGGTTGAAGTCAAATTATAATTTTGATTTCAATCAAAAAAACATAGTTACCATTTCATTATCATGAGAAGTAACGATCACTTAGATACAGTGCCACAAAGAAATGCCACAAAAAATGAGTTTACACCTCTCATTTACTGGTTCACCTAAGCTGCCGAATTAAAATCGGGCATTTGCGAATGTCAAGAAAATTAGACCCGCCAGCTTCAGCCGGGTTACGGGATTTCGTGTTTATAATGTTTTTTTAATTACCTTAAAAAGTGTCTTGTCCCAACCCATGACGAGTGGAAGGGGTCATTATATAAGTAGGTATATATACATGTTTAATTAAATTTGCCCTAACATTCCAGCCGGATCTGATATATTGAAGCAACATTGTCTTATCTTTTATAATTATGGCTTAAGGGTTCCGTACCCCTGGTCCTCTATTATTAAGGCTTCACTGGGCGTTGATTCGTCCGTATGTCACCGGACATTTCAAATGTACATATTGTATACATTTGCGGCTTTCATAACCAAAATATTGCCTTATTAAGAAAAAAAATGTATACTTTATTTCCTGGACCTTAACAATCGCTGTTGCGAATGCTCAGCCTTGCTTGTACGATGTTACTCTGACTACTTCAGTGCTATTTTCTAAGAACAAAAGAGATTGCTCAGCTTCCATACATGTTTGGCCTAAAGACCAATAATCATGAAAAATTGTTTCCTAGATTCGAAATTATATATAAATTACTGTAGAAACGAATGTTATTGACGGACACCCCTGAGAACTTCGATAAACCATATACGCTGAACATATTAAAATAATAAAAAACAAATAAGTTATATAGAAAACTAGAGAAATCAAGCCAAGTACCGAAATTATGGATTAGATTCAGGTATATAGAGCATGTAGATTAACAGATAGTTGCCTGTTTTTAAAGTTAATGCATAAGAGTAACTTTTAAAATCAGGTGTCATCTATGCATTTCCGGTTATAACAAGGTACTCTGTGACAGAAACTGTATGATGATTGTGAATGAGCCACAGACTAGAGAGAATGTTTAAACTCTCGTTAACCAAAGAAAGCTAAGAGATTTAGGTGTTATAGTAGCTTCATTATTTTTGTTATGTTTTTAATATAACCATTTTTAAGATTTTTAGTGTATCACACCTTATAATTTTATTTATTTATTAATTTATAGTGAGGCAACGTAGGTCCATAGATAGATACCTTAAAGTCTAACATATATACAGATTATAATGTGTTTATGGAGGTATTTGGCGAAATATGTATGGCAATAGACTTTATGATGTCGCCTAACATCTATAATAATTGTCTGAGCACATTTGCATGTAGTGAAAATAATAATATAGTTGTGGATATTAATACCATAGTGTAATAAAAAAAAATGATTTATTTTATCGATCTTTACAAAATAGATTTGTTTTTATGTTACATAAACAACTTCGATCAGTTGTTAAAAATTATTCGTATGTTTTCCAAACCGGTAAAATTAAAAGTCCTTTTCAAAGTGAATATATTATACAAAGGTGTCCGTTGAAATCTAATGACTGTAAATTATATTATTTATTACGCCAAGAATTACCGTATATGTCAATATTTTTTGTGCATTTGGGCCAATTTGAGCAATCTCCTTTACTTTGCACCACGGGATTCGCCGGTATGATTGGAAATTTATTTAAAATTCGTATTCTAATCACAATATTATTATAAAGGCGAAAGTTTGTGAGTGTGTATGTCTGTTACTTCTTCACGTCTAAACGGCTGGAGCGATTTTAACAAAACTTGGTATGGAGTTAGCTGCCACCCTGGATTAACGCATAGGCTACGTTTTTCTGCGGGAAAATATCTCTTATAAACCGCGAGTAACACCGCGGGGCACAGCTAGTCTTAAATAAAGTGGTGAAAAGTGAGTTTGTTCTTATACCTTGATCACACGAGCAAACGAGCGAGACAGTGCTCTCGCATATAAACATGACGCCGAGTGCTCTGCCGAGCACTAGCGATGCGCGACTACGAATGATTTTATCTTTCGATTAATTCGTAACTACTAATTTGGCTATTCGAAAGGCAAATTAGTAGTATACTAATGTCATTATTCGAATAACGACTACTAATTAGTAATACTAATGTCAAATTTACAAGAGCGCAACGAATAAGCTTAGTTTATTCATTCGTTCGTTCATCATTTGCCTTAGTTCAGTTAGTTTCCGTACGTTCGTACTTGGCGCCTGCTACGATAGTCTTGTGTATCTGTTATTAGGTTTTTTTTTTGCAGTGAAAACTGTATTTACCAGTGAATTTATTTATTATTACTTGATTTATATATATTTTTAATATAAAGATTTCATATATCGACATAATCATTAAAAAACGATTGAAAGTAGCACCCTTTTGACTCTGCTTATCTCTTTCACTCGTCGAGTTCGCCCGACCAAGCCCGAGTCGACCCGAGTCGATCGAGAGTCGGTTAGTCGCCGCCCGATACCTTCGACTCCAGTCGAATGATATGAAGCGCAGTCGACTTGGTCGAATGATTCGTGGAGTCGAATGATTAGTATTAGTATTATTCGAAGTCGCGCATCGTTACCGAGCACTCTTACATGAGTTTTAGACTATAACTGTCTTGGCCGAGAATCATTTTACTGTCTCGCCCGTTTATTCGGTACGTGTGACCAAGGTATTACGAAATGAAACGGCTGGTCTGACTCTCAATTAGGTATTTATAAAAAAATATCTAAATTAAAAACTCGTTTCTAATGTCAAGTTTTATATTTCATAATAATTATTGAGTGTTTTAAACACAATTTCTAAAGAAACGTAGCCAGCATAATTCATTTCTTACGCTTCCGCTCTTACTATTTATTCATTCCATAAAACACCACCAGCCTTTCAGAATTTATTTCCGGGTTCATCTCAAAGAGGCTAAGCTGTGTTTGCAAATTCGGTGATTACTCGTTAATGGCAAACAATATTTAACATAATATTAATTAGATTATTATATAAAATCTTCAGTAATAGATTGTTAGTAAATAGGTTAACTGCACTCTAGAAACTGTAAGTTTTTATTTTCTTTCGAAACTGAATGGCTTTTATAATTATTTTCATAAGGTAATTAATTATCAAAATCAAATTATTTTGTCCACCAGATGTCTACTAAGTCGAATTATAATTAATGTGATAAATGACTACACTTGCTAGCCCTAGCAATATCAATGTTGCTACGTTTTATAAAATACTTCAACGCGTTTACTTTGCGCTTTTAATTTGTCGTCAAGACACTGAAACGCTTGGCAGATTTCGCAGGGTTGGTTTCCACCAAGACTGTTCTGTTTATTGTTAGTTTTCATTGTATTAAATAAGGAGCACCCTTATTTATTACAATAAAAAGTAAGTCTTAAAGTTAACATATGATGACGACGTATTCAACATATTCATCATCATTCATCATCATCATCATCAGCCATATATCATATTAATGTCCCCACTGCTGGGGCACAGGCCTTCCCTATGGCTGGAATAGGGAGACTGGGTCATGACCCACCACGCGGGCCCAGTGCGGATTGGTGGGTGCGAATGACTGCAGATGCAGCCGGTACCAATGGCTTAACGTGCCTTCCGAAGCACGGAGGAGCTCGAGATAGTAAATGTTTGGTCATCCATCCAATGACCGACCACTGAGAAAGTTTCTTAACTTTAACGATCGCAGCCGAACGCGCTAACCACTTGCGCCATCGAGCTCCTCTCGACAACTTAATCATAAAATTAGCAATTGTGTTAGTTTTGCTTTAATATATGTACCTAAGTAACTATTCAAATATAATGAATGAGCTGATATATTGTTGTATGGGGGAATTGCATAAACCCACTTTGTTTTGTACATGGCGATGTTTAATTTATCGATACCACCTTATTACTCACCTAATTATTGGGAGAACGGGCTATTTTCATGTATTTGGTATTGTATAATTATTTATTTCACTATCTGCAGGTAACACACCTCTTGTGGTTGGCTCAGTAGGGCCGTATGGGGCTCATTTGCACGACGGTTCCGAATATGATGGCAGCTATGCAGACACAACAAGTGTTCAGGTACGTTAACATTATTACTCGGGTTTTTGTTTTAGCTCCTTTACCTATTTATGCATGGTATTATAACTAAATTTTATTGTTACTCTAATTCTATTATCAGTTCGTGAAGTAGGTATTTGAAAAGAGAAATAACTAAACAATAACATTTATACAGGAAAATTGTACAAAGTAAAGAAAGAACAAATTTTCTAAGTGTAATTTATAGTATATTAATTTAATTCCAACCGGTACCCCATCGATGAGATAATTAGGTAATTTTAACCAACTTAATGATCAAACTCTCAAATTTGTAACCATGTTATTTACTTTTTGTTCATTTAACTACTTAAATACGTTCTGTTTTTAGGATAATGTTTTGAAATTTTGTATTCCCCGTTTTGCTTCTTGCTGCATTGATTTAAATCAAAACATCCTTTTATGTCTTTGATCTTTTATTTTATTCAAGATTCCGTGTTCCTTTTAATGCTACCTAAGCATCGCGGAATGTAGTCGAAAAGCTCCTTCCTTTGATTTTAATAATATATTGTAATTTTTAATTTCCTCTTTAATACGAGTATACACTTGTGTTGTGCCTTTGAACCATAAAGTTTACACTTTCATTTCCATCCTGCCCTGCACTGTCATTTCCTTTGCTTCATGAAGACATTGATTGGTTTTTTTTTGGGAATAATTGTTTAGAGATTTATCTATGATTATTACTTAACTAAATACTTAGGGAAAGCAAATCACTGTGAGTTCAGACTAATTGCGCATATAGTTGAATTCGAATGCGACAGCTAGATGGTTGTGTGGAATACTCAACCATATATAGTTTTTTATTAATCAAGAGTTTTTGGATAATCAAGATATTTTTGTATGGAAATCTTCCATGAAAGCAATATCAAAATGTTACCTACCGCAAACTGTACCTACTACCTATTCATCGAATACTTGGGCTGAACATTCAGTATATCCTCCAAATCCAATCTCCAAAAGATTCCCTGTAGGTAGGTCTGTACCGTATTTGAGTTTAGTTAACAATGAGTACAGATCTATAAATATCTAAGAGAGTAGAACTGTGACAGAGAAGCGACGAACGCAGCTACTTGTAATCACCCACACTTGTAAGGCTATGTGGCGGATTACAAAATGTACGGACAACAGCAAACAAACAGTTTTATTTGAGGTAGGGCATAGTTGTTTTTCTGCACCAATTAGAACGCGCGTCTCAGGAAATCACCATCTTAAAGAAGGTAGCAATGAAATAACACATTTTGAGGTGTTATGTTTCTGTCGGTAAGTAAGATTCTAGCATAACTTTACTTTATACCCTAAAAGCTGATTCTCCTGTATAGATTAGAGAGACGAAGGCAGTTGTCTCACTGTCGGCGAGGAAGCAACTAAAAGTCGACTATTTTCTCGTTCAAGAAACATACAATAAATATACATTCCGTGTAAACAAAAGAGATGCATTAAATAGTTGATCCAAGGTATATTATTTAATTACTCACTGTTCACACCGTCGGAGAGAACTCGCGGCACTAGTTTGTCTCTCAGCAACAAGAAATACTTGCTCAGCGATGGTCGCTTGGCGGTCTGACGCGCGTGCGTGCATTTTGCACAGGGCTGTCACCGTGAGAGAGTGCCGTGAGTAATCGCCCGTCTTACTCGCTTACAAGCCAGCGATAAAACTATCGGAATCTACATACTCGCTTCTCGTTCATCATCGGCGGTGGGACAAGTGCCTTATTAAGCACATTTTGACTATGGAGTAGTGTAAAATTTTGTATAAAAAAGTTCACGATCATCAGAAAGGTTTTATTTTTAATTAATGTATATATTATAAAAAGTCAGAATTCACACTACTAATGTATAATTCATAATTAATACTGCCAGAAATTTCTGGCAGATAGGCCGTAGGTGGGCGGCCGGGGCGCGGCGGTAACTTTCGCTAAAATATATTTTGTGCACTTGTTTTTTATTAAATCTTTAATTAAATTATTCGTTAAGTATATATGTAACATAAGAAAATTTACCATAGATTTATAAATAAAATAAATTTTAATCATAGCGTAACGTCGAAATATTTAAAAAAAATTGGTGCTTTACTCTTCTAAAGATTGCTTTCTGTGAAATATTATTTATACCCTATAAAAAGCTAGAAACTTTCTTTGCTAGTTTTTCTGTCGACTCTACCTACAAAGCCAGGCGTAGCACAGACCGCTTTACAAGTTTAAATGAAGCTCGCCATTAGTTCTACCTACTGCAGACTGTGAAACGATTACTAATTTTATTGCAAGTTTCGTACCTAATAACATTGTTTTACTCATTACATAGTTATTTTTATTGTTTTCAGATATATTTAGCCCCGTAGACAGAGTTGTATTTAAGATAGGGCAGCGCAAATTACAAGTATATAAGCTGTCTGCCTCCCTGTTTTAAGGTAGGGCTAGGGTATTTAAGATAGGGCAGCGCAAATTACAAGTATATAAGCTGTCTGCCTCCCTGTTTTTAAGACAGGGCTCGGGTATTTAAATTATGTCAAAGCCCCCCCCCCCCACGACAACGGATAACTAGAGCCGAAATCCGAGTCTCAGAGACGCTAGTTGAGCCGACCCCCTCAGGTCAGAATGGTCTAGAGGCTCCAGACGGAGAGGAGACTTCCCCCATGGGGAGATGCCATCCGCCTGGAATACCTCTAGCCAAAAATAATGGAATACCTCTTGGCACTAGCCAAGTCTTAAGGTCGCCGTCTCCAATCCCGGTGACGCTGTAAAGGTCATCTGCGACCAACACACTCAAAAAAAAAGTCAAAGCCCCATAAAGCTATGCTATAGCCCTGAGTATATAACATACCGAAACTTTCAGTTTCTTAAAATTATTACACTTACGTGTAGATACTCTCATCACTCATCATGCGACAATTCAAGAACACGATATCAGTAACTATCACCATTATTATTATAAAGATATGGAACAGGCAAAGGTCGTCGGTCGAGACGTGATAAACGTGTTACTTTAAATATACTTGTAGATACACTTTTCTATCTTTGTAGGTAACTAAACATTACTTAAGTATTATTCATCTATATCTCTGTGTATGAAATTACATAATATGTTATGCGAACACTGTAGTTTATTAATGGTATATTTTATATTGGTACCAATTATATTATTATTTACATCACAGTTAACGTTATGCCATTACATAAGGGTTAATGTTATTGCATATCTACCAAATCACACTAATATTATAAAGGCGAAAGTTTGTGAGTGTGTATGTTTGTTACTTCTTCACGTCTGTACGGCCGGAGCGATTTTAATAGAATTTGGTTATGGAGTTAGCTGACACCCTCGATTAACACATAGGCTACGTTTCACTGCGGGAAAATATCCCTAATAAACCGCAGGTAACACCGCAGGGCACAGCTAGTTGTTTATATAGTCGCCTGACAGCTATTTAGTACCAAAGTTTAAAAAATTAGCCCGAAAGTCTTCATTTTTAGTACTTCTGTAAGAGTCATTGTATCGTGTTCAATGTTATTATTTGAATGTGTTTCATTATTTTTATTGCATTATTTTAATATAACAAAATATAAGTTTTCTGCACTTCTTCGCCATATCACACTTATCCGTGTGCCTAAAAAATTGTACGACAGATTTCCCTTCGCACTAAAATAATAATAATAAGGCGGTAACCAAGGAGAAACGGGAGAATCTTGTCATTGAACTCAATCAGGCTTTGGACCACATTTCTGAATGGGGTACCAAGAACTTGGTTGAGTTCAATGCTAAGAAAACCCAGATCTGCACTTTCACGGCAAAAACGTCGCCATTCCTTTTATGTCCTTCTCTTCAGGGCACAACACTGGAGCTAGAGAGCAGTATCACCATGCTCGGTATGGAGATTCGCTGTAACTTAAATCCAAAAAATTACATCGAAAGTGTGATAAAAACAGCCTCACGCAAACTCGGAGTCCTGAACAAGCTGCGGCGTTTTTTCACGCCCGAACAACTATGCTTGTTATATAAGACGCAGGTTCGGTCTTGCGTGGAATATTGCTCGCACCTCTGGGATGGCTCCGCCAAGTACTTGCTCGATGCTTTGGATAGGTTACAGCGGCGCGCAATACGCATCATAGGCGATGAGGAGGTGACTAAACACCTCGAGCCTCTTCAATTACGCCGTGACGTGGCGTCACTAAGCGCGTTCTATCGTCTGTACCACGGCGAGTGTTCTGAGGAGTTATTCTCTCTTATTCCACCTTCCCCTTTCCTTCAGAGGACCACGCGCGCTGGCTTACGTTGTCACCGTCTAACTGTGGCTACAATTCCAACGCGCACAAAGAAATTTGGTGGCTCATTTCTTTGTCGTACTATCCGTAAATGGAATGCTCTGCCCGCTCACGTGTTCCCTCCCTCTTACAACCTGGGATCCTTTAAAAGAGGCGTGAAGAAGCAACATGCAGGCCGGCAGGGTGAGGATGGCTGGTGTGGCAGGTAGAACTGCTGTATCAGCTATCTTCGCGGTTGGACTTCACCTCCACTTAACATCAGGTGGCGTGGGGTAGAGTCATTTGTCGGACCTATCAATAAAATAAAAAAAAATAGACAGTGGTGTCGATTCTGACATGATTCTCTAAACTTAAAACTAAATTTTTCATCAGTCTCTCCTTTTCATTCTGTATAGAAAATGACAAGGGTGCACTGTTGTCAAATTTAAGTTTAGGTTTAGAGTACCATACTAGAATCGACACCATCGTTTTGTTAATAATAATTGTTCTAGTAAATAACAAACCAAACGAAATAAACTATCCATTATTATTAAATTAATGAATCAAGATCCGACTACGCAAGTGGCCCAAATATAAATTTGTGTACGTGTAATTAAACAACTTTAGAGCATTGGTTTCCAACTTGTAAAGTGATGGTAAATAACTAACGTAAATTAATTAACCACTTTTAACTTGTGCTGAGTTAGTATGTAGTATTTACTAACAAAATTATAATATACTTAAGTA